CAAAATAAAAGCGAATCTGTCTACTTTATTAAAACTCCTACATTGTCTTACCAGTTATTTCTTTTTAATTTTTAATTAAAAAGAAATAATTTAATTTTTTATATTTGTTCATACTGTTGAGTTGTCACTTTCCTTAAAATACAGAAACAATAGCGTCCTCCCAACCTGGTGATCATGGCTTAAAGGATCACTCTTTACATAAATGAAATTTACAGTTAGTTGATGGTAACGGTGTTTTTTTCAACCTGGTCGTAAAACAGCTTAAGGGGGGTTTGGTTGAATTTTTAAATGAAGCAAACAGGAAGGTGGGTCATTTTGAAGAACTCCAGAGACCAACTCTAAAACCAACGTTGGTTCGCCAACTTCTGTTAATCGATGCAATCGAACTGTCCAAATTTGACACGAAACTCGCGCATTAAATAAAACGTTAAAGCCTTCGCCACCAGTTCCAAACAGTATGCATGTTCCAAGAAAGATAAATGACTCAGATTGAGGTGGAGTGTAGAAAGAGAATGAGTGGCGACGTCGAACACCTTGAATGAATGTAGCAGTAGGCTTTAGTTTGAAGAAAATGTTACGTTTTTAAAGTGTTGAAAAGTGCAGAATCAATAAGTTGCTAATATGAAGTTAATTTTGTTTTGAAGTCACCTGATGTAAGTCACACAGAGCTGGAGAGAGGTCATCTGATCTTTACAATCAAAGCAAAATCAACATGAAGAGATTTTTATTCAGGGTTGTTTCAAATGACAGAGTTAAGATCAAAAGTCATTTTCTGTTTTTACATGGAAATATGTTTATCTTTGTTGAAGCTGTGGTTTGCTAAATGCCTGATTTTTACTCCTAATTGCATGAGATAGTAATTTAGTGTCATTTTATTCATTTTTGGTTAGTCCAAACTCAAAGACTTCTACTTCTTGCTGCTTCTAATCAACGTGTTCAAGATAGGAGTGTTTGCACTGTCTGTTTGAAAAAAAAAAGTGTCAATTTTTTATGTAAACTTTAAAGTGATTAGCACCGAAAAGGAGTTACTTGACGTGCCGAAAACTATTTTCCTCCTCCTTCTTTTTTTTTTTTTTCTTGTTGGGTCGTTCTGCTATGGTTTGATCAGCTTCCTTTGTGAAACCAAGCTGACCTCTGAAGTCGCCCGTGTTTATTAGGTCCACACTGCGGGAGCTCACGCCTCGATCTGATTGAAGAGGGGGAAAAAAAAAAGTTTAAAGCCCACCTCTGATCCCTTCTAATTAAATGAAAACACAGTGGGATACCCGCAGCAAGACTGCGTTCCTCCAACCACGTGCGCAAACACGGTTTTGAAGGTAACCGATGTGGGTGTTCTCAACAGGGGAAGCAACACAGAGCTCCAGCAATCCAACATCCGTCCTCTTGTGCAGCGCCATCGCACACCAGGATGACATGCAACGAGCTGCAGTTCATGAGCATAAATAAGCGAGGGAATGTTTTACCTGAAAGAGGGAACTTTAATTCAAAGGCATCACTCCAGCACTGTGAAGAAATGTTGCCTCATTAGTGTTACCCCACTGCTTCTACTGAGCAGCAGTCATGAAGGGAGAGAGACAAGAGAAAGAGGGAGGCAATGTGCCACTCTTACCCCACCGACATCTCCTCTCCTGAGATCTTAGCATGCCTCAGCAGCTCAAAAATACCGCACATTGTTATGGATCCATTGGCATGGCTACAGGTTTAACGGAGACGCTCAAATGCCAAAAATCCGGCCTTTTCAAAACGCCCGCATCGAGCCAGGCTCCAGCAGGTAAATGCGACACAACTGCTGTCGGGAGTGCTGCTTTGCCGCCGCGGCGAGCTCATTGTGCAGAGCGGGGCGGATGATGAGCACTGGGGCAACGTTTGGATAGAAGGGAGAGGAGGTGAGGAGACAAGGACGGTCATCATTTGGAGGAGGGCTTGGCCGCGCCTGCTTTCATCCGGCGTGATTGACGGATTGGAGCAGCGGGCTCGCTCGCTCCCTCGCTCGAATGCCGTCACACACGCATTCCTCTGGAAATCTGTCTATCAGTATTGGCTAAGCAGAGCGACAGCCATGACATCTAATCACAGGCGAGCTGGCACCTCATAACGTCTACCTAATGTGCTGCAGGTACAGAGGAGCGAAGGGGGAAGGGGGCCAACACGACCGCCACCATTACCAGCGCTATTAATAGCCCCCTTTGAGGCCACTGGCAGGAAGTGGATCACCGAGGGGTTAGAGATGGAGTCCCCCACTCCATCTCCAGCTCCTGTGTTTAGACATAGGTCTCCGTTGACAAGATTAAACAATGAGGTGTCCCAGTATCCGGGTGATGCATTTTTCTGGGTTACACTTCTGACAGAGTAGCATAAAACGAGGGCAGAGAGACCACACGTACAAGATGATAATGAGTCATTTACATAATGTTGCTACAACATTATAATTACCTGGCAATTAAAGCGGCTCAAAAGCCTCATTATGGGCTGTCCCGAGGCCTGGTGAGACTGGGACAGGCTCGAGTTTGACTGTCATCCACTCTGTGTCTTTTTCCTAGATCACCCATAGGCCTCATTATGTTGAGTTACAATGCTTTAACCGCAAAGCCCAATGATTTAATGTGATAGATCAGCACCAGGTAGTGCAGAAAAGTGTGAAGAGAAAGGAAGAGGATTGCTAGGTGTGAATGTTTGTTCACAAATAGAAATCTTTAGTTCCTATCTGTGCACAGACTCCAAACTGATTTCTCCAAATAGAATTCAGTGGAATCTATTACAGAATTTGTGTTTTACGCAAATATCAGTATCAATGCTTCAGTGAAGGTCTATGTGGTTTGATAGAGACCAAATAAGACCAACACAGACAGGTCACAGATACAGTTGTGGGAAAATTAAAAACAAGTGTTTTTTTTTTAAAGGTTTTATTTTATCATCCATTTGAGAGAGAATTGATAGGAAAGTGGGTAATAAAAGAAGAGGGTGGACATGCGACAAAGGCCATCAGGCTGGGAATCAAACCTGCGACAGCCACGTTGAAGGGCTCCGGTTAACCCCTGCGCCACCACAGACCCCCCAAAACAAGTTTTGTTCAAACAACATTCAAAGCTTTAAACAGCTCAGAATATTCTTCAAATTCGTAATCCATAAATTGAGCATATGGAAGAACCGCATACCTACCAAGACATGTAGGTTAGAGGGTCCATTGGCCCCTTCACTCCTGCCTCCTGTATCTTACCACTATCAGCGTGTGCATGACAGCGTGGTGTAAAGCGATTGCGGTCCTCTTGACTAGATAAAGCGGGATACACATACAGACCAGTACCAGTTGTCATTTTCAAGGTGATTCACCAAAACATGGTAACAGTGGAAGAGATCCACTACTACCATCAGGTGGAAGAACTACTTTGGACAATACGACTATTAGTCATGCAGACCATAAATATAACCTTCATGTCAAAAGCAAAGTCATTAGAAGTCCTATTTAAAGTTTCTCGCATGACATGTTGGGCTACATCAGTGTGGAAGAAGGTTCTGGGGTTCACGTTCCCCTACAAGCCGGAAACGGACCGCTTTTGATCAGCATGCTTTAAATTGTGAAAATGACCAGACATAAATCCAACTGTTAAAACTAAATTCATGTCAACTTTTGATCCTTTGCTACTGAGTTTGAGCTATATTTGCATGGATCAGTTGTTAGAAGGCAAAGCTAACATAGACGTCCCCCAAAAGGCATATCTGTAAATGCAGCAAAAAGGATTAAACTCAAAGGGCTTGGATCCAAACTCACTTTTCAGCACTTCTCAGTATTTCATCTATGAAATGTTGAGAACCATGTGTCCTGTTTGGCTCTACTTTAAATTACACCAGGTGGATTTATAATAAAATATGCAGGCTTTTATATTTGAGGCTTTTAATATATGCAATACACAAAGAAACAAGGGTTACGAATACTTCTGCCCTGCATTGTATCACCTAATAGGAGTAAAGTTTTTACCCAAACTTGAACCTTGACGAAAGGCAATACTTCATCCGCTGAGGTATTGCAGCAGACACAGGGGCGATGTTTTGAATTTCTTTTCCTTTGTGTGGGATTTGTCAGTTTCCTCAGTCCAGAGGGACTTTGTTGACACACCGAAAAAACCCACAAAAGGACGTAACAAGGACACGTGTCATACCTTACACCCTTATTATACCTGCAGTGACAAGTGAGACGAGGAGCCGCTTCAACATACTAGCGCGCATTAAGCTCGTCTTCCCATTGCTCACAGTCTTAAGTCAGGAACCGCTAACATCTCGTGTGAAGTGTCAATGTAATAAAGCATCACGTGTGAAATATAAGGATTTGGACGTGCGTGGGTGGTTCGCAGGGGACGGTAGGGGGCTCTTCATGAATGGCAGGCGATGAATGATGGAGCTGCTCCCGAGGGTGCAGAGCCCTGAGCTATGCTGCAGGGACCCAGGAACACGGCAGTCTTCCATGCCCTGCGAGATGCCAGTTTGGGTGGGCACCGTTCCGAATGGGTGCCCTTCTCTCCAGGATGCGCTGCCGGGTCCCCAGGGGAGAGTCTGCAGGCTGTGGCTGCTCCACCGTAGGGGTGGCTGGGAATCCCAATCAGGGACATGAGTGGAGGCAGGGTGGGGAAAGGGGGGGTTGGAAAGAAAATAAAATGAAATAAATAACAAAAACAAACAACCCAAAAAAGAAGAATCAGTCCTTAGGTTCATTGTGTTTATATTTCTGGAAGAAAGCAGGGAAAGTGGCTCATTATACCGAGATGAAACACGGTCCCCGGCTCACTCTGAACTCTTTTTGTGTGTTTTCTAATTGGTGAAAAATTGCACAATAACAGGACTTGGATTTTTATCGATTTCAACATGCTTTTTCTGCAATTATGAAAAAAATAAAAAATAAATGTGGCTCTTTGCTTGCAGGCTGTCTGCTTACAACCTTTCTTTTTTTCTCTCTCTCTCTCTCTCTCTCTCTTCCTCTCATCCTCGCCTGCGCTGCAACAACACAGGAGCTGCTGAAACCGTGACAGGTACTACTTCTTCCTTCTACCTGCTGTTCATTTGGAAGCGCTCGCTTCTGTGCGTCTGTTGATTGGCTGTCCGTCCCAGTCTGTTCATCTGTCCGTATTTACACGCCTGCTTATGTTGTGTGTTTATTTTCGAGACGGCTTAGAAAGCCTTGCATTTGTTGTCTTCCTTTAAAATCAACCTTTGGCCACATAGTGTAATTAATTAGTTTGACTTCCTCTCACATGTTTCTTAGTTGTTGTTGTTTTTCCTTCTCAATATTCTAGCAGCAACGCTCCTCTAACCCAGTTCTTCGCCGTCTCCACGATGTGTTTGTCCGCTCCGTTTGCATTCTTGGCCAATCGTTACCACTTAGGGCATCGGGAATGTTTTTCACTGTCTGCCGTTTGTTTGAAAAGAAACAGAAAAACAGCTGTAATTCATCATGTAATTACATGTAGCAGCTTAATGGAAAGTGAACCCAGGGTAAGTAATGCTGATGGCCTCTCCGGTTCGCGATTAGATTTTGGAGCCATAAGCTTTCCAGAAGCCACTACTTCTTATCGAATTATGTTTGCCCTGAACTCCCGGGCTGGACTTCGACCTGAAGTTTTCTTCTGATTGGAACAAAAGCGCGGCGCTCGAAGGTGGCAACAGCCGGCGTTGAAAACGATGCAGCGCGTCCAAACTCTGATTCTTATCTGGTTATTTACAGGAGTGTCAAACATCCATATCAATTGAATTCTATTATTTCTGACCAAAGATGTTGTCGGTCCTCAATTGTTTATTTATCTATTTTTTTAAAATTTATTTTAGGATCTCTTTACATAAGATGTAAGATAAGATAAAACTTTTGAGGGCATAAGAATAAACTTCATTTGCTTATTTGTTGACAAACTACTTCATCCAGAGTGTTAAATATTAGCAAATACAAATATTAACATAAGCGCTATAGAATATATATTAAAACAATAAAGACGTGATATTATAAGTAACTTCAATGTAAATATAATACAATTTGTACATGGAAATATGTTAATCTCAAAATAAATCTACAAATGAATTCATAGTAAACATAAACATAGAGATTCAGAGTTGGATGTTTTAATATTTAAAATGCACCCCTATTGAATATACTGTTTTAACAGGTGTAGCGTTTCCAGTGTACAGGAAACATAATACATAAAGTGAGTCTTTTTTTGTTTTTACATATTAATAATTGGGGAATTAAAGTTGAATGTTTTCCTAACTTATGCCAGAAATTACAAGTTGAATTAAAAAAAATTTCACAATTTTTTTAAAAAAGGTCAAACTGCCCTCACGCGTCGGAACCATAACAACCATAACATAGTAATTTGAAGTGAGTGATTCTTCCTCGGAGCAAACTGAGCTTTTGCATATTGTGGCATGAGGAGTTCACACCACTGGCAAATTTTAATGACATCTGTGGCAGCCTGCATAGACAGACGATCCTACAGTATTATTAACTTATTTCTGTAATCATATTTTCCTGTAGCTCTCGTTCTAAAGACAATGAGAAAGGGTTTTGCGGAGACTTAAGATTTTGATGCATTAGTGCGCGGTTAAATGTGAAATAAATGTTTAAATTAGTCGTTATGGATGAACTCTGACAAACGTTTCTGTAAGTCACAGAGTCTCTTTTCAACACCATCGGTACAACGGGGGGCAAATGATTGTGGTTGACAACATAAATGTGAACTTACACTCTTCGTGTAAAACCTCCCACTGGCTCATTGAGCGCGGTGGACAAAAGTCAGCAGTCCGACCTATACTTCCTATTTCAGTAGGTAAAATCAATGGCTAGAACCACATTGATGCTTTTGTTCTGTAGTGTGAGAATAATCCATAAATCAGGCAGCCAGGCCCGGTTCTGTAACAGCTACTGACATTTGGATTTTAACATACAGCTACAGTGTTGTAAAGAAGAAGAAAAAAAGTTTGTGCCCCCCAACAGATTTTATTTTTGGTTTTCTTTTTCTTAGTCATCAAACAAATTTTAATATTAACAACAGATATTAACAGAAGTCGATAAAAAATAAGGCTTTTCAATGCTAATGTAATTTATTAAGCTCATTCCATACATACACTCAGAGTTGCCCTGTAAACCTTCAAACTCACTTGGTCAGCTGTGCGGCAACAACAACAACTAAGCAGCTGCTGCAACTGGCAATGGTATTTGTATTAATTCAATCGTTAGTCGGTGTTCTGGCGATTATTGTCGTTCTCCATAACCCAAGTGAGTTTAAGGTCATAAACGGACAGGATTTCCTGACAGAGAGCAGGACTCTCCGTCTCTGGCCAATCATAGCAACAGGACGTTACGTCGCTTCGGCCTCATCTGACTCTTGATCAATATGACGCTTTTTTTTTTTTTTTTTTGAGGAGATCGAGGCAAGATTCAAAAAAGCAAAATCAGAACAACCCTATGGAGCGCTGAGGCAAAAAATAAATAAATTGACCACAGTATTGTAACTTTGTTATAAAAAGGCAGAGTAACTAATTGCTGCGTATTTCTGTGCGGAAACAACATTCATGTGTACAGTATTGCTGAAAGCTGTGTTTTGTAAAATCACTGGCATTTGTATTTGCTCAGACATTTGACTTTAGTCTGCAATTAGAAGAAAAATGTGTTACTTTCATACAACAATAAAAAAAACTACTATGCAAGAATTTTTGTCAGATTTGTGAGGAATTTAAAAAAGATGTGCACTTTTAATCATTGTTACACAGGAGCAAGTTTGGTTAAATATGATATGAAATTTGGAAATAGACAAAAGAAAGTTTTATCTGGAAATTAAAGTCAAAATCAAAGTGATTTTCAAATATTTATTTCTGCTTGATTAAATTGCGACACGAGTTTCAAGCCATGATTTGAAGTGGCACATGATAATTATGATACTGAAACCGAACTAACTAAACTAAAATTAACGTTCCTCTTTTGCGGTTGTCTTGCTACAAATGTCGAGTTCCTCTAAGAGTGTTTTTGGTCCAATTCCTCATCTGTGAACACGTTCAGACGTCGTTTCATCGCGGCGGAGAAGAGGCGGGGTCACAGGAAGAGGAATGAGAAACTTGATGTTGTTAACGCCCGTCTGTTTTTTTTTTTTTCTTGAGAGAGCACGACTGCTGCCGCAGAGAGCGCCGACTCACGGGAGAGAAATGGAGGCGTTGGAGGGGGTGTATGGAGAGGGCGCAGGATGTCCCGCATTTTGCTGCCCGCCTTTCATGTCTTTTGATGTGAAAACAAGAGAGAAAAGTTCAAAGAAGCGAGCCAACGCGATTCAAAAGGTGCCGGTCTCTGAATTTCTGATGGAGGAGCCAATCCGCTGAAAATTTCCAGATTTCGTCAACTTTTTTCTCCGAGAACGGTTTAGATGTGTGTGTGTGGGTGCGTGTTCGTGTTGGGGAGGGGGATGAACGGCGGTGGGTGGGGTGTGGAAGTTGGAGTTCTGGTGCCGTTTTGCATTCTGAGTACGGCTGATGAGCCGCGCCTCTGTGCCAGACTCCTTTCGCCAGATTGTACATCCCCTCGGAGAGTGCACAGACTTTTTGAAGGTCTGTATTTTCCTCAGACTGTTTCATTCAGTATGTTGTGATGCGGGAACAGGAGGGCAGCCATGTGTAGAGATACAGGCACTTTACTCTCCCAGACAGCTGCTGGAATGAGTGTGAATTTATCAGCCAGTCATCTGTGCTCTATCTCTGCCCACTACCCCCCCTCACTCCTCCCACATCCCCATCATCCCCCCCGCCCACCACGGAGAATTAATGACTGCCTCTCCTCATTTGCACCCAATCATGACCAGGATGCCGAGGCAATTGAAAATGTTTACTTCAATTGCGAAAACCCTCCATGTTCCACAAAGTGGCCTGTTTTCACTTTGATGGGATTGCTAATCACAGTGACGTTATTTATGTGTGTTTTGAATTGGAGATGAGCCGAGGCTGGGATGTTGGAGGGGTACCAACCTTGCTTGGGGGCTGCTAAAACCTTATGGAGAATTTATCTTTTTTTTTTTCTCTCTCTCTCTCTCTCTCTCTCTCGGTTCTCTGTCTCTCAGTCCAGCAGATTGGGAGCAGAGTAACCTTGCTTTGAGGCTGGTCTGTTGCTGTTTTGACTGCCAAATATATTGCTCTTAGTGCGATGAAATAAAATAGACATCAAAACTACTTCCTTTTTTTTTTTTATCCTTCTTCTTCTTCTTTCCTTATATTGCTTTCCGGCTCATCTTCGGCAGTATTCATTACGAGACGCGGGGATTTTGAAGCTGAAATTGCCGCATGCTTAAAAAAAAAAAAAAAGTGTTTCACAAGTACTGGAAAGATTTATGTGTGTGCTGGCAGTATTAACATACACTCAGTTGTAAATATGAATCTTAATCATGTTTTTTTTTCCATATTTATTAGTGTTTTGGATACAGTGTGTACAAGTCACTTAGTGCACCATTTAAAGTGTACTAAGTGTACTTCCTCATACTTTTTCTTGGACAACTTAAGTTGCATTTCGTGTACTTTAAGTATTTTGCTTTTTATGTAACAAAAATCTGCTTGATTGGTATATTTTGAGTGAACTTTTTTTGTGATTGAATTACATTTAAAATATACTCAGAATGTATTTTAAGTATATTGGCATTACATATTTTATATATTAGTAGTCTGATTACGGGATGCTCTAAATACACCTCTGGTTTATTATAATTGCTGATGAAGTAACTGCAGCAGTCATCAGATGAGTGACGGGCTTCACTCTGGACAGGTCACCAGTCCATCAACAACAACAAATAAAATGCATGAAAGAGATATGGTAGATTAACAAGGGGAATAAATTCTGTCCAATTATTTTCAAATTAAACCATGTTTATTAAGCACTTCAAGATGGCACACTACTTTTTGCTGTTAAAAATGTATCCAGCTGCTGAGTTAAAAAAACAACAAAAAAAGCCGTCCACCATGGAGACGATGTGGAGGTTCTTGCTGGTTGGTGAGACAGGAACGTCTCCAGGTTTTCTAATCCCTGCCTTCCTCTTTCATCTTCATTTGCTTAGACCACAAAAATATGTCAAAGATAAAAACAATGATGAACGAGTTATAACAACAGCCTCACAATATCAACGTCTCTTTGCATACTGAGCTTCATCAAAGCCAGGTTAAGTTCATGAAGAAAAGCATATTGGGTCGCAACAACCATGCAGTTATACGAAGCTGAGTGATTGTTATAGTGATAATCATAAAGGTCACAATAAAATTGATAATAATTATTTCAGAAACCAACGTAAGTTTGCTTATATCTTTACTGCATTGGTTATAATTAAATGAAGATAATTAGCATTTGGTAGCAAACTTACCACCAGCTAGCAACACGTTAGCAGCCTTAGCTTCTATCGTGTGACCCACATTTCATTTCCATCAGTCCTGTTGTGTCGTCTAACCCGGACTATGGTTTTACCAGCTTGAATTTACCAAAACCACTAACTATTATCAAGGCCGTCTCTACTTTTAATTCAATAATACACGAGTAAAAATGGCGAATTTGAAACGCATCTGTTATCTTCTCTGGCTTTGTGGCTTTTCTTCTTTTTATTGCGCTGTAAAAAAAAACAAAAAAACACTGAAAGTGTGCAATACTGCCACCACCTGGTCTGGAGTGTGAACTGGAGCTAATGCCGTTCAATAATAGTAGTATTGGTTACCTAGTAACGGCATGTTGAGTAACTTGCGCAGCAGCAGTTTTAGGTTTTAACCCCACAACTGCATTAATTTTTTTTGTTATAATAATGGAGTGGAGTGAAAGGAGAAAGTGAATACATCAGAGGAAATGGAGGATAAGACAGGAAAACATTCATGTCAAAAGTCTGGCCAACTTTCAGATATTTAAAACAAATAAAATGAATCCAAAGTTAGCAATTTAAACAAAATGCTTATTTCCTTATATGTGAAAATTGTGAGTTTATGTTTTTTTTTACCTAGCTGATTAGGAGGTAACACAGCAACAGGTGGGGGACAGCACTGTGTTGGTTAATCCTCCAACAGTTCCTCTGTGCATTATATCTTTATTTTCTCTGTTTTTTGTTGCTTTTTTCAAAAAAAAATTATTTATTTATTTATTTATTTTTGTCTTTGAAGATGCCTGACAAGCCATTAAGTTGATCAGGCTTAAGGTGAAACTTCTTACCAAATTAGTCCTACTTAAGCTTTACGGAGCGAATCAGCACATCCTGGGCGTCACAAAGAAATAACTGTCTCCAGAAGGTGACCTTTTGTTTTTGCTCGTAAACTGAAAGCAAATTTAAATAATTTTCCATTTGTCATTCTAGATCTCTGACCTTATCCGAAAATCGAGCCTGGACCTTTTTTTAAACGACGCTGTTCGAAATGAATTGATTAAACGAAACCCGATGTTTGAAACGAGTGTTTAGCAGAAACGAATTAAAGCCCATTATGAGGCGGCAATAAACTTTTAATTGCCTACATTGTGTCCTCTGACTCCGAATTGTTTCTTCTTTTTTTTTTGTACCCATTACCCTTCTTTTGTCCTGAACCTGAGGGGTGGCAGAGGAGTGGAATAAAATGGGTAGTTCGTTGCATCAGACAGGTCTGAGGAGCTTTTCTCCACAGGAGGTTAATTTCTTATTGCTCGCCGCGTTTGCAGAGTTCATTTTGAATCATGTTAGTTTGGCTGTCTATTCCCATTATCGCTATCGGAAAACGCAGGCATTTCTTTCTCCCCCCCCACACCGCTCTCCACTTTGTAAATGTCAGAATGCAATAGAGGTGTCTGACAACTCAGGCATGCAAATGTGCTTTTGATGTTTCTTTTTTTTTTGTAGGATTCGGGGGGGTTGAGACCAGGAGTGTTGCTTCTCCGCTGGTGTGAATCTGAGGCATTAAACGTGTTTCCTTTATGTTTTTTTTTTGTTTGTTTGTTTTGGCTCCTGCCAAATAAATATAGCACAAGGTGACTTTTGACTTCCTCCTTCTTCTTTCTTTCTGAAGACAGGGTGGGAAAACAAAGCCAGGCATTTTGTGTGTGTGTGTGTGTGTGTGTGTGTGTGTGTGGGTGTGTGTGTTGGGGCTTAGTACGGTGTAAGTTATGATGACAAGGTCCAAAGTCTCGTCAAGGAGGTGCGGAGGGGGGGTGCAGGGGGGTCAACAATGGCCGGCGTACAGTCAGTGAGTCCAGATGCTTGTATTTCCTGCAGACGGAGAACAAAACCGCTGAGCACACACCGGGCTCAGACGGAGAGCAAAAAAAATAAATAAAAAATAGCTTAACCAGAAACGCCATCCGACTCCTCCTCTCACTCTTCTCGATTTGACTCTACTCCCATCTTTCTCACCTCCAACCGCTCCGCCCGTATCTGCCGGGTTTCCACTTTCCTTACACTTGTTCATTGTCTCTTTTTTTTTCCTTTCTTTTCTTTTCCCTTCGTATCCTTCTCCTCTCCCGGCATCTTTGTGGGCAGCAGAGCTTACAGCCCATCTGGCATTCGTTCGCAGGGCCTACTCTGAGCTGTGGGGGGAGATCAATAGTGACAAACACTGCACATGGCTCTTATATTAAAAGGATTAGACATGGCTGCAAACTGACAATCTACACAGCCTCTTCACATAGCTTTGCTCCCGTCTGTTGACATGGAGCAAAAGGAAAAAAAAATAAAACAGCGTCTAAGTATTTAATAGACTCGAGAAATCCGGTCAGAAAAGTTTTGTTAAAGCGCCAGTGCTGTGTAAAATCAGGTTGTTTTTTTAACACTTTACATTATGCTATGATGTTATTCCTTCATCAAAAAACATACCTGGAGTTTCCTTTGATTCTTTCATGCATGTTTGAGAAATCCAGTAATATCGCGGGGCAACCATTCATCTCTGAGTTGTGGTTTCCAAGCAATTCCCACCAACCAGCTCCTTCAGACTAGCCAGCAGCAGTTAGCTACCACCTGGTGAAACTGTGCATCAGCTGACTTCATTGTACGAGTTACTTCTCAGTAACACGCTGGTAAAAACATGGTTAAAATAAGAGGAGTCATGTTGTGATGATTTCCTGAAGGTGAGATTTCGGGAGGAGCTGGAGTTTTTAAACAGACTTAACACCAAATTTAAGGTGTTAAGTAACAAAGTAATATTTCTTTGAAGCTGTATTTGATATATTTAACATTTTTAAAACAATTGAAGGTTACTTGACTCTGCTATGAAATGGCATAAACACACAATACTGCCACTTTAAGAGTTCTCCTTTTGCATGTCTGTGGTTTTTTTAGTTGACAGCCAGAACCTGGCGACTGACAACGTGTCGGTGATCGAGGGAGAGACGGCCACCATTAGCTGCCGAGTGAGGAACAACGACGACTCCGTCATCCAGCTGCTGAACCCGAACCGACAGACCATCTACTTCAGAGATCTGAGACGTGAGTGCAGCTCCGCGCCGCGCTGGTCCCTGCCGGCCTGCCCCTCCCAACGGCCTGAAACGCAGAGCTACATTTGCGATTCCCAGAGTTTCTTAAAATGCACAGTCATGCCCATTTTACTGTAACTGAGAGAAATATTGTTTGCCACAACAAAAGGGATGGAGTGAGTGGAAATCCAATTTTCTCCAATTCCGGCTGCCTACACAGGTTTGATTTCTGCCTCAAACCAGGAATATTTCTTTCAGAACTTTAGGTGGAGGGAGGGAAAAGTTATTTAATGTATTTTTTCTCAAAGAGTTTCTTGTTTTCTTAGTTTTTCTGACAGCTGTGAGGAATTTCTGTTCCTTCTTAGTATTACCTTTAAGAGCACATTTTTGGGACTGAGACGGGGGGGGGGGGGGAAATGAGACAAAGTATGCAGGCAGCTGCGTTGGGACCATAACAAACATAACACATTGTCTCACTATTCTGCACTCCTCTTGTGCATCGGAGTTTACTAAAGCAGGATTAAAAGACGTATCTGCCTTTTTAAAAACATTTTTTTTACATCTTTTGCTTTTTGACTGCGTTCGGTTTTGTACTTCGCAGTGTTTTTATTTCCACAACGGCGCGACATATGTAAAAAAGATGCACCCTAGCATGAAGCTAAATCTGCCAGAGTGGTGACGTTACAGAACAAACACAAAATCCGAGCACAGATGTACAACACGAGGCCCACGCGAGACGACAGCGGTCGCGGTTAAATCTCCAACTCCAGAGTGAGTGCACGAGGTAAAGATTTACATGGTAATTTACTCAGTGAGGAAGAGAAAGTCAGGACAGATCAGCAGTTTGGAGATCTGGCAGACGGGCGTCTCCTCCAGGGATTCAAAAATGATCTGCAGTTCGCCTGTAATTCACCACAGTGACAAATTAGTGCTTTCTGCTCCAGTTCTGACCAGCACTATGACACATTCAGACCACCAGGGTACTTCTTACTACCGAGCCGCCAAGTGCTGAAAATGGCTGTGAACGGAAGCAGCCGAAAGTCTCACTTTTCCTCTTGTAAAGAATCCATGTTTTATTAGTGAGAGTTTAAGCCTGGATGAAGCGTTATACAGGAACAGGACATTTACAGTTTTAACAGTAGTGGGACTTGAACAATAATAATAGTAAGTTGATTGCAGGGTATGTAGTTAATTCATCACAATTGATCACATTTCAATCACAAATTTATAGAATAGAAATATTCTTTAGCTTCTGAAGCTAAATTCTACAATGTTTCACTCTATTTTTGTGGCTCCCAGAGTCCTTCCCGTTCTGCAAAACAATAGCGCATTTTGCTGGACGATAAATTGCCCAATAATTATTGCGATTATCGATAATATTGTTGTTTTGAGACAATTTTAAAGTATTATATTGTTAATGCCATGATAATGCACGTTTCCCCTCTCAAAGACCAATAAGCGTTAATTTTGTAGAGACCTCAACATCGGAACAGCAAGACAATACAAATAAAACATTACAAAAAAATAATTTTTACGAGCCTTTCATACTTTGGGACTTGTAGAATGAAATCTGCGATCCGCGTTGAAGAATCTGTGAAGGTGTATCAGTAGTTTTGTGTCTGAGTGACGAACAAATATTCACAAGTTATTTGTTTCTTTTTTCTGACAGGTATGTGGATTTGTTTTTGCACCATTTGTTAGCAATCATTTAGGGGCTAAAGTGTCAGTGTGGGATGTTTTTCAAAGTGCGACTCAAAGAATACAATTTGTGCTCGTGCGCTTAAGAATTTGAAGAGATAACTGCTGCTTTGTTTTTGTGAAAGTTCACAAAATTTACAATTACAAAACTCCTGTTGGCTATTGCTCTCCAACGTCGACTTCGCAGTTAAAAGGTACAAATATTTTTGCACCAAAAATACTTCTGTCTTGTCACCTTTGTGCAAATTATTGTGTCCTTTTCCTTCAACTTTGGATTGCTCTCCTGGAGAAAAACAGCACTTTGAGCAGTTTGTGTCTTCACACATATACTTTGATCGAGCTAATCTACATGTCCTGTGAAGGCGAATCTTTCGAGTGAGACAGAGCAGTCACTCTGTCCTTTTCTGTGTTACCAAAAAGCAGGCACACATTTATGTGAAATATTCCTGCACCGAAACTGTCATTTTTTAAAATCCCATAGTTCTGTCTCATACCAAGTAATAAACTCCGTGATATACGTCATGTCACAATTCTATTGTAGAAAATTATGTTTTAGGGAACTTTTCTTCTTTGAACATCAGTTGCTAATTATTAGATGGTAGTACTTTTTTTTTTTTTTTAGCTTTCTGGCTGCAAAATATCTTTAAAATGTCAGATCTGACTTTAGTTTTGCACATGTGACAAATTTTAATTCTATTACCAGCAATTAAACAGAAAATTGTTGCCAGTTATCACTCATAACCACGGACAACGTGTCGGACGAGGATGCAGCAATTTATGTCGCCTCGCCCTTAAATTAACATTTATCACCTACAATTAAACATAACCAAGCTGATTTGTCTTAATGTATTAGGTGGCATACAGAAAATGAGTCAGCTGCTGCTACTTTCCCAAATGTGGCAACACAAAATGTCACAAGTATTTCAAACTATTATGCTTTATGACAAAAGCAATTAACCGCTATTACAGAACACACACACGCGCAGCACTCTCTGCAATTATTGGGACCTCTGTTGAAAGGATGTGCAAAAGCCTCGAGACGAGACAAGTTGGGGTCCTTGTTCAGCCTTACTTGTCACAGTTTCAATTACTCTTGTTTTTTTTCTCTGCCTCTAAAACACAGGAAATGTTTGAGCTTCTTTCTGTATCACACAGCTGTCCTACTTAAATTGTACATGGATGTTTTTTAAAGCTACCATCACACTGTTTGCTATCTTGCCAGTTTTATGCGTACTAAATCATCACTGGAGAATTATTTACCAAAAACAATTGAAATGTAAGGCAGAGGAAGACATGACAGTGGTTGTAAGTCACCAGTATTTTTTATTCAAAACTATATTTGATTCATATAATTTTCAATGATTTTTGCAGTCAAATTAAAGATTGGACTTTTACTAAATTTCCAGTGTGAGATTATTACATGGCAGAGAGTTAGCTTATTGTGAATTATGATTTTTTTTGTGGGGGTGAGGGGGGTTGTAAGCTACCATTTTTTAAACATACAACCTGGAAGACCTGGTGTGGATGGAGACGTTTCAGGACACAAATAAGTAAAAGAAAAACATCTTAGTTTGTAAACCTAAATATCGTCAATTGCCAAAGTAAACTTTGTTATTTGTGCTCCTTTGACTACTTCTGTTTGGTTTTTTTTTACACAAGAGGAACATTAAGTCAGGCTCATTTGAAAAGTAAATTTCAGCAACGAGGCAGTCCAAAGGGATTTCTGCCATAAAAACAGAACAGTAATCAATTACGAAACGAGCAATAAACATCACATTTCGTCATCAAAATCAGCAGATGAATGCAGATAGAACATGTTGCATGGTGTTCCATTTACCACTAATTAAAGTCATCTCTAAACAGGTGGGTTACTGTACAACCATCAGCGCATTCTGGTACCGAAGGAGCTGTTGTGGTTTTACCACAGTAAAGGTGTCAGACACGACGACAAGATCAGCCGCGGCTTTCGCTTGGATTTGGTGTGCAAACATGATTCCATCTGTCCTTGACTCTCTGGCTCTTTTACACATGTCATTAAGCTTCGAATGCTGCGAGATTATTAAGAGATAATTCACAGCGCTTATGTAATGGAAATACTGTCGTATCCTTGTCATTTTTTTTGGTTTGTTTTTACAATAATCTCTTAGATTAGGGATATTGGGCTTTATGATTATACAAGAGCATGTGGGACACTTATGCTTTAAACCGAGATTTTTTTCTGTCTTGCATTTTTTTTTTTCACGTAGCGCCTTGGATCCGAGCCAGGATTGAAGGTGAACGAGAGCCACCGTTCATCTCAATCTATATTGCTTCCCAGCTGTTATTTTGCGGGCCCAGGTAGCCAGGCGTGCGTTCGGTTCTCTCGCCGGGGGAGTCTGAGCGCACGTCTTTGTCACATTTGTGTAAAACACCCACAAAACAAAACAAAAAAAAAATGTGACAGAACAGTGAGAGAGAGAGAGAGAGACGAGTGTTTTGAAAGTATAGATCGGGGGCTGTGCTCCTATTTACTCAGACGGCAAAGATTAAAAGAAACAATAATCAGGAGGCTCATCGTGCCCGCCGATCAATGATGAGTCTGTACAGTTACAGAAGTCTTGCCAGGAGGTTAGGACAACCTTTCCCTCTTTGTTCTATATTGAGCGCCGCCATGTGAGCCTGCAAACATGTCATTTTCTCTGCCAAAGTCAATACATCTCCTTCGTCAATAAACAAAAAAAAAAAAAAAAAGAAGAAAAAAACCAAACTGTGTTGTTTATCCACCGTTGGATGTGAATATATGTCAGACTTTGCAACGGGCGGATTAGGTGTTATTGGGTTTCTGCTGCGTATTTGTACTTCTCGTAATGGGGTCTGGCGAACTCCCCCCGTCGACGATGCTATTCTAGGCCCCCGTCTCCTAAAGGACCTCCAGTTCTGCACAAACCAGCCCTCCTCACCCCGCTCTGTACCCTCCAAGCTGGTGGCATTGTTACCTGTCATCATGGCTGCCCTGACACAGTGGCAGATCTTTGTGCGTGAGAAGGCAAACAGCAGTGACACAGAGACACACCGGGAGCTGACAAGCCAAGTAGTCGCCTCGGAATAAGACACAAACAACAGCAGAGTATCGGCTTTACAGTCACAGAGGAGGGCTCCGTTTTTTTTTTTTTTTAAACAAATTCCTGCTGCAGCAAATAAAGATAAATTATGTCACGGGTCGGTCGGAGCCGAGCACGCCTTGTTAGGGTGAAACGTTTATCCCTCCAGATATATCCAAAATGACATGTAATTCAGCAGCGGTTGTCAGCCGGAATGAAAAAAATGAGTCTTTTATCAGTGAAGGTGGACGACAGCACGGACGGCAACGCGGCATGAGGCGATTGCTTATTGGCCGCATTTCCCCCCCTTCCGGGAGGTTTCCGGGTTTGTGTTACAAAGGCTTAATATTTAAAAAGTGGTACTTTGTAAACAAGCGTGATGTTCAGCATTCATAGCCCTGCAGGTTAGCTCAATTTCGAAAACAGTTACGGCTGTTTTTTGGGGGGCGCGGAGGGGATTTGTTATATTGAGGGTGGAAGGCAGGCTATGGTAGAAAACCCATCATACAACGGATTTAATTTTAAGCACCAACTTAGAAATCAGGACACACGTAGCAGTTCTGATTGTGTTGAATCTCTATTATTGTGTGAACAAACAAATTCTCACTACCATATCATATTTATTTACCCTTACCGTAGAGCGGATCTGGAGGGCTGACCTTGAATACTATTGGTGAAATATGTAAAGGCCTGTGATGATCTTGGAAAGCACAGAAATTGTATTCATCTCACTTTGAAAGAACTTCCTTTGATCTGTGAAAGATATATTTGATTAATTCCTCTGAAAGTCTTTTAAAGACTTGTTGCAATTGCTTCCAGTGACCTACTGCTCGTTGTGTTGGGCTACACAACGAGCAGTTCCTTTACATAAACTTATGTATGTAAAGGAACTGCTGAATACTTAACAAGTATTCAGCGCAACAAATAAAAATACTGACATTTGCAAACAGGAAGCTGAAGTGGTCAAAGCGTGCAGAGAGGTTAATGTCACTAAGTTCAAGTGTAAGCTGGTATTAAATTCATAAAGTTCTGCTGCAAAGAGCAGCAGATTTTCAAAGAGACAGGGAACCAATTTATAAGTGTTGCGTCTCTTTAAAGTCATGTTTGATAATATACAACATTTTTTGTAACTACTGCAGGTAGCATAGAAAGCATAGCTACCATTTTATAGCACGATCCGTCTGATCGTGCTATAAAATGGCTCCATGTTTGGATGAACATAATTCTGCCCTTTCAACAAACAACTTCTCAACCTCAAATATGGGTAGAACAAACCAGACAAATAATGATCTTTTGTGAGCTCATTTTTTAAATTGCATCGGAGAATATTGCATGTACTGATACGTTTGTATCTTCGATTTGTCATCCTTGGGACAATTTTCTAGGAGACTTCCAAGATACTGTTTCATAATTTGCCGATAATAAGACAATACTGCTATTGAAGTGCTTTGTGTGTAAACTGAGACTCGTTTTGTCATACGGACCTTAAAGGCTTTAGATTGTCTGAATCATCCAAAAATATTTCTTATGTTCTTCGTATGCAGATTATGTGATTAAAATATACGCTTGTAAACGAAGTTTTAAACTAAGCAATACTGCTGCACTGGCTGTCCTCATGGGGTCAGTTAAAAAAATAAATAAATAAAAAAAACCCTGATCTGATCAAATCGGATTAGACAAAATACACAACACATAGAAAGCTCCACATCCAGCTTTTGTATTTGAAAAAGACTGAATGAAAATCAAAGATACAAATAAATCATTAGCACTCCACAATTAGCATCACATGTATGCACTTAATGAATGCATGCACAGGAACTGTGTCTATCGGCTCCCTTATCTAAGCAATCAACCTCTTAAACGTCACAGAGTCATATGCTGCAATCTGCACTCATCATTTCAGACCTGGAGTGTTTCCCTCTGCAGCAGATGCTCTTGCCTCTCAAAGCGCAGCTCCTTTTAAGGCTCCCAAAGAGCCTTGAGATAATATTGAGGGAATAAGGTTTCATATCGACGCCACCCGGAGACCTCAAGTAATGATCGTAATGCAAAGTGTGAAGCCTGAAGGGAATAATAAACTCTCCCCGCGCTTCAAACGGGGACCGAGTGGCGTTCGTTAGCTCGACAGATGCGGACAGGACTTGATAAAGAAGGCAGGTCAAGGCATCAAAAGGCCTCCCCGATCAAATCAGCCCAGGCTGTTTATGTAAAGGAGCTCTCGGGGACGAGCGCTGACCCAAAACGAAAAGCGGCGAGTCTAAGGAAGTCGGAGCGAGACGAAGTCGGCTAACCCAGTTCGACGACGACGTCGAAAGATAGGAAGTCCGGAACAATCCACATTGTGGAGGCATTTAGTGCAGAGATTCCCGGCTGCTTTTTGATTTGGACTTTCAGGCGTCTGCGCTTCCTCTCTGTGATTTAATTCATTATGTATGTTTGAATGCCTCTCTCCTCTCAGAGGACTGTGTGTGAGCCCGACGCAGCCATCCGTGACCGGCCTCGGCCCCGTTTTAAGACTTTCTCAGCTTGTTAGGACTCTTCATGAACACTCCTCGTGCCTTCCTTTCTTTGCGAGTGCTCCGTGGACTGTAAAGATACTTTATAAATCAACTCGAAGAAATCGTTCTGAAACTCACTTTTCTTTTACTCAATTAAGGAGAAAGCCCCGCATAAAGGGCAGCGCTCTGCCTCCCTCCTCCCCACACTTCCCTCTGATTTCCTGATAGAGCCTCGTTCGTCCTCCTTCATCCCTCTCTCTCGTCCTCCCTCATGCCCCCTGTTTTCTTTCGTCTCACCCCGCGCATCTCACACTTGTGTCCCTGCACTCTGTATCCCCAACAGCTCTCAAGGACAGCCGGTTCCAGCTGGTGAATTTCTCTGACAACGAACTCCGGGTGTCTCTGTCCAACGTATCGCTCTCCGACGAGGGACGCTACGTGTGCCAGCTCTACACAGATCCTCCTCAGGAAGCCTACGCAGACATCACCGTCCTGGGTAAGGTGTGAGGACGCACATCGGGTGTGAAGAAGAAATAGGGAAAAAATAAATAAATAAGAAAAACCCACACTCTCATTGTGAGTCGCTCCATTGTGAGCGGTGAATATGAAATAATAGTTATCTCTGATCTTGTTATCTTAAGCAACTAAAACAAAATGTCAGCCAATTAGGCTCTCGCGGTGCTCAACAGCATAACGAAAAAGGAGCAGATGCTGAAACTGATGGCTCAGACCGCGTTGGTTTGGCAGCTGTGTTGACTCTGTGAATCCCGGTGAATGTTGACTTGGCTGCTCCCAACGATTTCCCATTGAGAGTCAGCTGTGCCACACTTTGATGCTTTGGAGAGAAATTACTTTAGTTAAGCTTTATTATACATGCAGACATCCTGGGGGATTGAAAGGAATTAAAAGCACTTAAAAGTAATTACTCCAGTTGTACGACTGAAACCTAGCCCCCTTTTTTTTTTTTCTTCTTCTTTTCTGAATCAAGAGTTCTTGAAATAAGCACCCACCCCCAGCCCCTAACCCCCCACCAAGTGACGTTTTGCTTTCAAGTATGTGAAGTTCGTGAAGTTATCTGTGACGACTAACACAAGGAGGGTCGGAAATTTGGCCCGATTCTGTGTTTACATCCGAGTCAACAAAGGTTGCAATTACATAGAGTTATTTGACAGTGCCTTAAAACCTTTTGGCAATGCCTTAATAAGAGAAACTACATGATTAATACTGTATTTATTGTATTATTGTTTCAGTGTTTGTATAACCCTGCAGATGTGTCGCAGTTCAGCATCGGACCGGTTTTAACATGAGTTCTACGCACCAAAATGGACTCGTTTTAGCACAACCCACAATGTGTGGGTGCAACATTTTTAGTTTTTGCCTCAGCTCTGACCCGATCTTCAGTCAAGTATGCAAAAGCAAGTTGGCTGATCCTGTGAACCTCGAGGTTGGCGTCCTGACTCCACCAGAGGTCAAGAAACACCAGATGGAGGATCTTGAGATGACTTACAGTCTTGGAAAAATAATTAGGACGTCCAGTTAAATGGAACAAAACAGTTTATCTAACAGCGGGTGGAATAAGCATCAAGCAATGTCAACGTTGTGGAAGTTTAAACATTCACGATGCTTTAAATGAATCATTTTCAAGAAGTACTTTTAATCTGACAGACATGGCTTAGCAGAACCTATGTATGTTTCATTTTAATATTACTGTTTAAAATGTGAAGTTATTGGAGAAATAAGTTAGAAAGACTCAAGGAGTAACTATCAATAAAGGGATCAATAAAGTATTTCTGAATTGAATTGAATCTCTCTAACCAATGAAAACGTTTCATTGGCGGTTTGTTTGAGACTTGTTCAGATTCTTATCAAGAACACAATTTATCCCTTATTTCATCGTTTACCACTGTAAACAATGAAGTAGTTTTCCATTACCATACGACAGCCAACATGCGATTTTCACCTTCGAGCTTCACTTTTGGTTTCTGTGTTTTTGAGGACCAGACATGTTATGTGCAACGCCATCCAGAGTTCACATATGGATTCCTCTACTCAGACTTTACGGTCTTAGTTTACTGGCTGGTTGATAATGTACTTAACTATTTCAATTTAGTATTCCTTGGCTTTTAGGCAACTAATTTTATTATTTTTCTCTCCAGTTTAGGGCTCCGCTGTTACTCACTTCAACATGCAGAAGTTTTGGAATCCAGCTCTAGTCATTAAAACATTTGGCAGCAATAAGGTTTTTTTTTTTTTTTTTTTTTATCTTAGAAAAGTACTAGCTTTGCATGTATGAGGTGAAACAGCTCATCGTAAAATTGAATTGATTTCCATTCAAAAATACTATTTTACATATTAAGTTGCTTTTTTTGCTTATTCAAAATGGTCACTTTTTAAGTTATAAAAGCTATTTCTGATCATCAACACATGCTTATTATTATAGAATACAAAGATGCATATTTCAATGAGTTCAACCAATATTTCGTAGACCTTTTTAAAAATATATATTTTCCATTAAAAAATGTCTATCAGGAATGAAAATACATATTTGGTGCAAGCATCATGTCTGTTCAAAAAAAAAATTTTCTGGAAGTTTTCTCTCAGTTTTCAAACAACACGTTTCATATTTCAAGTAAAATATTTAAAAAACAAAAAAGAAAATCCTATAAAATTTGCCTGGGTTTCATTGAAAGTCGAAAGATTAAACAGGATCCCGCCATGGCATTTCAGGAATTGTAATTCCTGCAAAAGAAACACTCCAGTTGCAGTGGTGACAAAATACCCTGTATTTTTCTGAAAAGGAGGAGAAAAAAAACCTACAGCAAAGCCAATGTGATTCCAAAATAGCATTTTCTGATTGCCGCACCGATCGATCTTGATCACATTAATTACAACAGATGTTACCCTCCATTTTTTTACAGGAGAAACTGTAGTAGTTCTGGACAGGCACAGTGACCCGTGTCCACAGGGCAACATTATGTTTGTCTTCTTGCTTCGCAACTGTTGGCAGTGTGAAGTGCAGGAAAGCCTTGTTTTTGCATCTTAATGTTGTCGTTTCACAAACAAGTACAAAGGATTCAGTCTGAATAAGTAATTGTGTCAGAAATTTCAGTAAAAAAACTTTTTTTTCCCCAAGTTGGGCTAAAATCTGGCCACAGTTTAAAAATATTTGCCACAAATTCTTTGTTGACCTTTATATATATATTTTTAGAACATTTTATTGCTTAAAAAGTGTAATTTCTTAAGGGAACTTGAATCGGGTGAAGCTAAACTGTGCCGCTTGTTGAGATTTTTGTAAGACTTTACAGGTAAGGATGTTTTCATATTAAATGCAAATCTATATTTTACGACTTTAATTAAGCTTCTGCTCTGAATGTGTTGGGGATTTTTCAGAAAATGACCTTTTGCTTTTTTCTTTTTTTACTCTGCACTTCAAAAGCACAAAATTTCAATGTGTTTTTGTCTAATTTATAGCGCAAATATCTTGGTACACTTGAAGTAAATTCAGCAAGATTTCGGAACCTGTTTTAAGTAAATAACTGTTTAATATTTTAATATACATACTTGTTCCGTTGGCAGATAATTTCACTTATGGCAAGACATTTTCAACAGGTGAAATAATCTGCTAATATAACTACTTGTTTTTCATGACTATTTAGTGAATATTTGCCTAAAACATGCTCCTATATCTTGCTGAAAATCTACATGTAAGTTAGTTTTGTTTCATTTTAAGAGAACTGAGATATTTGCACTAGAAACTAGATCAAAAGTACTTTGTAAGAGTTTGTGTTCTTGAAGTGGCGAACCCCTGGTTGACGATTAATTGAACGCTGAATTAGTTGACGATTATCTCAGCAATCGATTCGCCGCACTGATCCGATTAATCGTTTCTTGCCTTACTGGGAAAAGAAACAAAAAAAAAAAAAGAAAAACAAATGTGTGTACAAGCGTTGGCCTGATCACGCCTGTCTGGACGTTTGTGTGGTCAGTCCCGCCAGGCAGCCCCATCATCGAGAGCCGAGAGGACGTGGTCAGCGAGGGGAACGAGACGGAGCTCACCTGCATATCCATTGGCAGCAAGCCGGCCGCCTCCATCAGATGGATGAAGGGGGAGGACGACCTGACAGGTTGGTGGAACAGCAGCCTCCCTCGGTCAGCTTCACGTTCTCCTGGCCTGTCTGCTCGGCCTTTCTGGAGGCTCCTCAAGGGGGGGGCAAAAAAAAAGGAGTTTTTCTATAAACCCACTGTGTACTGATGATGCAGACTGGCGTACGTACACGTGAAGATCATCCCGTCTGTCATATCGAAGGCGCTCGTGCTCGGATTCAGCTCTGCCTCGGAGTGGTTTTCATTTCAGAGAGCAGTGTTTGGGTTTAAAAATTGCTTAAATATTTACCGGAAACATTTTCGCTACACCTCGACTGGCTGATGGAATATGTCTCAAAAGCAGAATTCAACTCTTAAGTCTTTCCAACTCGCTTCCAAGCAGCCGCTCACGGTAAACAAGCTTCATTTGCACATTTTATCTTCATTTCGGCGCCTTCTGTTGCCTGCAGAAAAAAAGGCGGTATGAAATCGGAGAGTGGCGGCGGACAAAAAAAAATCTTATTACCTCTCAGTTATGATTAGGTGTTATCAATTATTCATTATAAACTTATTGTACGGCAACGGCGAGGTCAGTATTAGCCGCATTGTGCGGGGCGAGCGTCTGAGCTTGTCAAATTATATATGTATTAGAAAGGAGAGGATACATCGGGCTTGTTGAGAGATGAAATATTTAGACAAGAGCAAATCTGAAGCTAAATGCCATCTGTGCCTCCAGTGTTCCCTACAGGAGTCAAAGTCAATTTCTGTTTATGAGTTGTAGAGGGTTGTGTCGGGGAAGGCGAGACAACAGGATGGTTAGATCAGCAAAATGCCACTGACATGCTGAGCAGGGCTAATCCACAGTGGCAATGGATACATAAAGCTGGCCGCAAAGTCACGTCCTCTTGTACCCCAGGAAAACACAAATCACTTGTTATTACTGACGTGCTACACAATTCATTAGTCCCCGCACGTACTCGGGCTCCACAGCAGGCTTGCTGCAGGCCTGGCTCACCGGAGCTGCTAGCTAGCAGGGTAGCTTTAATGCTAGCAACACGATTTGACCAAATTGACCTCGAATAAGCTGATTTTTTTTTACATGTGATGTATCCCATTCAGTTAGAACATAATCAAGATTTAATAGAAAAAATACTTACACAGAGTGATGTATTTCTAGTATTTTTTTTCGGGTCTGGTTTGGTGATTATACCGGAAACACAAAACTATGCTAGTTAAAAAAAATGAAACATCGCATAACAATTGCAAATCACAAATTGCTTGTTGTTAAGGACCGGCTAAACAATTCAGTAATCCCTACACTTACCCGGACTCCACAGCAGACTTGCTGCAGGCTTTATAGGCCCAAGCTGACTGGAGCCGCTAGCTAGCAGGGTAGCCTTGGTGCTAACAAAGAAACAAATTGACCAAACTGACCTCGATTAGGCTGATTTTATTTCATTTTTTTAAAATTTGATGTATCCCATTCAGTTAGAATACAATCAAAATTTAATTAAAAAAGTAATTAGAGTGATGCTTTATAGACCCAAGCTGACTGGAGCCGCTAGCTAGCAGGGTAGCTTTGATGCTAGCAAAGAAACAAATTGACCAAACTGACCTCGATTAGGCTGATTTTATTTTATCTTTTAAATCTGATGTAAATTAGAATATAACCAAGCTTCTAATTAAAATGTATTTATACAGAAAGATATTTTTGAAGCATTTTTTTTTGTGCGTTTATTTAACTTCAGTGTTTCATTTCTTTCATTGTGAATAACAGTGTGTGGCACTGATTGAGTGACATTTCTTTTTGACATAAAACACTTGCAGCAAAGCAGCTGCATGAGCATCATCATCTGTTCCTCACTATAAATATTCAGAACGTCATTTGCCTTCAACTACATAACTGAAAAGGAAAATGGAACAGAATAAGAGTAGAATCGGGCTTTACTGACCCGCAAAGGGGAAACTCAGGTGTAACAGCAGCACCAGACATAAAAAAATCACACAAGAAGTTCTTAAAAAGTACATGTATTTACTTTTCACCAAACAGTACAGAGTCGGATCGATTTGGTTTCAATTTTTCAATAGTACACCTCGCAAAATGGTGAAGTCGCACCCCAGCTCCATCTTCCTGAGCTTCAACAACAGACACATCACCACCTACAGCACTGTCATCTGGCACATATAAGAAGACCCCTATACAAGCCACCAATGCAACATGTGTGTTTGCGTGTGTGTGTCTGACCCTCCTTGAAGACATAAGGGAGGGTTAAAAAGTTTATCCCGTTTGTTGTAAGTACCAATAAAATTGGGGTTTTCTTTCTACTATTAGCAATGCGAGCAGCCAGCAATACACTTCACTCCTTTTTATGACACTAGACACTAAAAGAATCATTCTCACATGACTATTGGATGTGTCTTTTGTTTATTGAGGTGCAGACTCTCAGACATGTAAATAGAACATGTAAACCTGCGACTCTCGCTTTGGTTTGCATAATCACATGCATCCATATTTAGTACTCAAATATTATATTTCATTGAGAAGCAGCGACGCTGTTCGCAGGGAAGGAAGAAGTGCAGAACTGGAGGCCCAGTACAATAACTGATTAAGACTAAACCATTTATCTGATGCTGCTATTGTTAAAAGGTGGGAAGAAATGGGATTAGACAGCGGCGTTTAATTGTTTCTTGTCCTTGTGATCAAGGGTAACGATATTCAAGAAACTGTAAAAAAAAAAAATTTTAACTAAAGCTTCAAAATCCTGCAATTTCAGATTGAGTCATAAATGAGTTTTGACTAACTTGACAATTATTATTCAGTAAAAATACTCAAGTTATCAAAAGGAGAGAAATAAAAGAAAAAGAACCTTGATTAAAAATGTTCCGGCTCATTTTTAATTCAAAGAGTCGTGGCAAGGTTTCATATCTGACCTTGTGGAATCATATTTTTGGAATAGATACACCAAACCTGAGGTTGACCCGTTCCCCTTGTCTTAAATGAGCTTGCTGACATTTTTAACTTACTGAGGAAGCTGATTCAAGCACAGTCACTGAATGTTAACCTGGGAACATCTTGCAGCCTGGCTGAGCTTTTGTCACATTTTTTCCTTATCCTGGTATAGATGTTGGAGTATATTCAAATTATTAATAGCTTTTTTTTCCTCATAAAAAATTAAGTGCATTTTGTGGCACTTAATGTCACATAATTCATATGAAACATCTCCATTGCTTATGGCGTACCTCATTGGAGTGATGTCAGATCCTCTTTTTTTCCCCATTTGACCTTAGTATTATTTTTTTTTTGTTTGATATTGCTGCAATATTTAGGTACTTTTTAGATGGCAGTGGTATAAAGACAAAACTTTTTTTTTAATACCTGACACTAAGTCACATTTATCTGTTGTAGAATTACAAATAAGTGATGCCAGAATAATAAGAATTTTTGAGGAAGCTTAAAAGTTAGTTAAAGGCAAAAGTTCACCAACGCTCTGACTGTTAACTACAATTTGTCGAAGCCCAGGCAACTTTTTAAACTGTTGATAGTTTCATTCACAGCCTTTGGCGTTATCATATATATATGTATGGACGAGATGCCATTACAAAACTTGACTGAGTTATAAGAGGAATGGGACAAATTCCTGCAAAAAAAAATTTGTTGTCAATTTTAAGGAATTACTGACTCAAAACAAGCTCCTGTATCATTCTGAAAAGTTATTTGTAAGTTAGTTTTGTCTTTTTCAAATGTCTAAGATATTTACACCAAAAAAAATGATTTTATGTTTTTGCAGTGCTGCTGGAAAGTATTTATTCTTTCAACATGTTCTTTCACATCTAATATTTATGAAGTGTGAACCTCATTGTGTTATACTTATCCTCTCAAAATATGCTCTTTGACCTCTGTTGATCTTTAGTCTCGTCTAGAGCCAGTTTACTCAAGTTTAGCGTTAACTAACTTTACAACCTTCCTTTAAAACTCCAGCTCCTCTGATAGACTGACACAATATTCTCTCATTTCCTCTCGGTGGGTGTGGCGAGTTTAATTCTGGTATCGTATTTATTACCGGCGCTGGAGTCGCGCTCGTCTCAGCCGTCTCCAGACATCTCGATCACGGACGGGGCCCCGGCAGCGTGTTGGCAGCCAGACGACTTGGGTTAGAGTCTGAGTGAAAGAAAATGTCACCCTGAGAAGGCGGCCATGCTTGATTGCTCTGGGATTGATCAGTGCTCGATGCTCACGAGAGCGTTTGATTTGACATCTCTGCTGCAACTCCAAAATCTCCCTCGGCATTCAGATTCGACTCCTTCTCTGACCCGATCCGCGCCGCTTCTCCTTCGTCCGGGGTTCGAGACGACGCCGTTAATTGATAGAAGGTGACTGGCTTGAGGATTGGGGACTTCCGAAGTTTTTCCTCTTTGCAGTTGCCATGGTCAAGAAAGAATCGGGAGAAGAAAGAAAAACAGCACCCTGTAGTTTGTGGAACTAGCGTTTGCCGCTACAGCAGCTGCAAGTTTTTTGGGGAGGCGGTGGGTCACTGTTTAGGTCGTTGTCTTTTGCAGCATCTAATGGGTTTTTCTTCCAGCACTGCCCTACATTTAGCCCCATCTAGCTTCCCATCAGCTTTGATCTGTTTGCATGTAAGCCACAAATTTCCATTTTGTTTGCATCTGATCAGAAAACCCTTTTCCACGTGTTTGCTGTGACCCCTATCTTGCCAGCGCTAAGCTGTAAGCTGCACTTCATAGGACTTTCTCCAGTGAATGGCTTTCTTCTTCCCACTCGCCTGTTAAATCTAGATTTGAGGAGTGCACAGTTTTCCTTCTCTTTACGAGATAAATGACATCTAAAGGCAGTGGGTTGGGCTGGATTTATTTAAAGGGGGAGTACTATGTATTTTCCATCCTTTTAGCACAATCAACTAACTATGTTGCCTACAGTTGCTATAAAAATGTTGTGCATATCAAATATGACTTAAAAGAAAATTTGACTTGTAATTTAACACCTTGAAATTGGGCCTCTGTCTCTTTAAGAAACTCCTTCTCCTTCTGAATTTCTGCCTTCAGGAAGTCATCACAAAATGGCTCCTTTATTTAACCCTCTACCAGTGTTTCACTGAGCAGGAGCTTGTATAATGAGCTCAGCAGATAGCAAACACAGTTCCACCAGGTGCTTGCTAATTGCTTCTGGCTAGTCTGAAGGAGCTGAGTGAGGCGGAAGCTCAGAAGCTTGGAAACTGCAGCTCCCAGGAGGAGCTTCCTCCTCGAAGGCGGGGCTCGGCCCACCCGGGCGTTTTGCATGGTTGCCACGGGAAATTCAAGGATTTCTCAAAGAGGCATGACAGAATCAAGGCAACGTTTTTGATGAGGGAATAACATTAGAAGATGACGAGAAGTTCAAGGTATGAACAATTATGAATGTAAGAATTAGTAGTCACTTTCTGTATCAGATTCAATCGCTATAAAATTTTGAAAAACTGACGAGGTGTAAAAAATGGTGTTAAAATGTGAGACTGTGCTTTAAAACAGCAGCATTGTGTGTGTGCTCTGACCCAGTGTTATTAGCTGTGCCTATTGCACCCTGGTCAAAGCAGTTTTCTTAAGCAATGCTCCCGTTCAGACTGCTACGTTTAACAACCAGAGCAGTAAAACATGAAATAACACAAACACTTTAAGACTGCGGTAGAGTACGGGCTTCATGCTTCTGTAATGTCTTTGCTCACTTTTTTGAAAAAATAAAAATTTGGGGGGAGAAAACGTAAAAGATTTGTTTACGGTTATTACTCCGCCAAGCCTGCTTTCCGAACGGCGTGTTCTCTCGCCTGCAGTCGGCAGAGTCGTCAAATTTAATGCCTACGAGCGCGGTGGCCTCTCGCTGCTCCCAGCGCTTTACATTTTCTGCCGGGCAGGGTCCTTCACGGGGCCGGGTGTGTGTTACGGCAGGGTTAATATCCGTCAAAGGGGCCACATATGTGTGTGTTGGCGATCATCAGCTGTGGAACAAGATGGGGGGTTTTATCCCTCCTCCACCCCGCCATAGGTCCCGGCCGGGATCTCCCCGGTGAGGAGTCTGAAATGGAAGTGTGCTGCGGGGTCAACGTCGGCCTGTAATTATTTCCTCACTTCATTAAGTGTGGGTAAACCATCACACTCAGCACCGCGGCTAATGCGATGCCCCTCTGGCATTGTAATGCTCTCTAAATGAATGCCCCTCTGACAGCCCCGGGCCTAGTGGGCAGCAGATTACTGCGGGGTTCGCCCCAACAATCCTGCAGCCTCCAGCGTTCATTATCGGACCCGATATGACCCGGCCGCTCCCGCGTCAGAATCGAAGGCCTCGGGGCTCGTCTGAATCCTCTGAAGTCTCGTCCGGGCTACCGCATCACCGAATCGTAAATTAAATGTAAATGCCATCTTAAAGTACTTCACTTTGACAGGTAATATGCTCTTAATAGCTATGACTATTTGCCCATTACCAGCTGCGTCTGCTGCTGCTGTGGCTGCTGGGGGGATTGGAGATTTGATTTTGAACTTCTTTTTTTTTTTTTTTCTCGGCCAGTCACTTTTATTTCCTCTTCTGTGTGCGGCGGCTTTTCCAGCTGAAACAACAGTGGAGGAGACGTATGACAGGATGTTTACCGTCACCAGCCGGGTGAGGTTTTCTGTCACCAAAGAGGATGATGGAGTGCCGGTGGACTGCATCGTTGACCATCCAGCTGTAAAGGACCTTCTGGCTCAAAGACACTTGGAAGTGCTCTGTAAGTGACCCAGAAATGCATGGTTTTTTTTTTCCCCTTCTTCTTTTTCTTCTTCTTTTTCTTTTCAAAGGGCCACGACCAAACTGAGGCCAAGTCTCATGCTTGGACTCCAGAGGGCTGTTTCTGTGGTTTAAAGGTTTAATCTAAAAGTATTGGAAAACAGAAACTGTGAAACAAAAGAAAGGTTTAACAACCAAAGCGACAAAAGGCAGCACAGAGATATTCGAGACAGGGTCATTCTGTGCCAAAAATATCTTTATGCCATGCTGTGTGTTCAGATAGTTCATTTAACCTTTGTCCTTAACTCACCATACATAGTCGAAAAGAAAAGAAAAATAAGTCTGTGATTTACGGTAAAATATCAGCAGCTGTGTTTGTCAGAGTATTAATATAGATTTTACAATATTTATACAGTAAACCACATATTCTATATGTTCTATATTTCAGGTAGAACGAACCCAAATACAAGCAATAGTTGCTTGTATTTGCTCCATAAACAACGACCTCAGTCTCGCTGAAAATTTTGTGAACTATGTTGAAAAGCAGAGTCTTTACCAGAAAACGTGATATTTTAAGTTTAGTCTTTAATTCGGATTATTGAGGGAAACATACATTTGCTTTGAAGTGTACATTTATTTGTCAGTGTTTGATATTATTCTCCGTGTTTGGGGGGAAAATCAACTATAAATTCAAGGCTTCCTGTTCGTTGCACGTAAACCTTTAAGCAAAGCTGCGCAGAATAATTATGGTTTATAAACATTTTTGTCTTTGACATACAAGCAAGAAACGGCTATATAGCTTTTCTATTTTTAGGCCACAACAGTAACTCTACATTATTGTCACCAAAACGTGATAGACTGAAGCTGCGACTCTGTTAATGTATGCAAATCTTTTAACATGTTAATTATGGACTAATCTTTTCACCGCAGCCCAATCAACTGTGTTGCGTAACATTTTGTAAAAAGGCAAAATTGGTCTAGCTTGTGTCAGCCTGCGTACAGCAGGTTTTTCTAACAGAAAATAATCAGTTCAGATTGAATGGTCGCCCTCTGCATTATGGCTCTGGTAAATAAAATTATCTGAAGTCTCTATGCTCAGTCTGAGGCAGGAAAAACCCAAAAGCACAGAGGTCTGCTAAGTGCTTTGTCTGCCGACTCATCGACGACACGAAAACGAAAGCCGTGACTTTTAACGAGTGAGGTAATACAGAGACCAACATAAAGCATTTTCAATTTTCAGGAGCCCAAACATAAACAACAGCTTGGACAGAATGAAAAGATCTGAACAAATTCATTTTTATTTATCGGAATCTTTGGCGTGTCGTAAGCAAATATTTGATCACATTGTGTCCTTGAAACATATCCGACGTGCTTCATTTCTCCAAAAGTACTTGGTCATCGGTCCAAATTGTTGAATTCAGCTGTTTCAAACGTTTCCCTGGCCACGTGTCTGTAAACGGTTAACTGAGGACATTAAAGCATACACCATGATGAGACGCATCCTGGGGAATTAATCCAGGGTGGAAATCTTCTTGCTACAAAATATTCCACAGTTGCTCGACTGTTGTTGCTACTTGAGCAAAGTGGAAGCAATTGGGAAAGATGGCAGCGAAGTGGTGAGCCACACGAGGTCACACAGTTGGATCAGGGCAGAGAGCACAGAGCTAATCGACTTTTCGTAAAGGGTGGCTACTGACCTGCGTAGAGGTTCAGGAAGGGAGATTTTATTGAGCGTTCAAGGACATTTATGAGCAAGATCGGTGTGGATCGACTTGACTGTTCTGCTCTCAACCCGATTGAACACCACAGAAATCAAGTAGAGGAGAGACCTTCTCGTCCAACATTAGTGTCTAACCTCACAAATGTGTTGGAAGAATGTTTCAAAAAGTCCAAAAAGACACATGTCTTACCCTGCTAGGGCAGTTAGACAATTTAATTTGTGGTTGATATATATTAAGGATAATCGAATGAGTTGTGGTTCATCGTCATGACAGACTGGCGATGCTTTTGAACTCCAAAACCTGAAGGTTTGACGGGTGTTACAACTTCGACTGTAACATTCTCGAGGTTATCAACAAATATATAGAAATATGACTTTATTGGATCATTTTTTTGCTGTTAATAAGAATTGAGGAAGTCTCAAGATCTTTTGTCTGACCAACGTATTTGTAAAATACGTATTTTAAAAAAAGTTTTAAAGTTGTCTTTTGTGATTACCTCTAGTAATCACAGGGAGTACCACAAATTGTTATGACAGCCTTTTTTTAATATATATATATATATATATATATATATATATATATATATATATATATATATATATATATGTATATATATATATATATATATATATATATATAAAATCTTGTCTGTCTCTAGTGTAAAAAGCTGAGTTACATTGTAATGTCTAAATTTAAGCATAAAGTGCAATTCCTTCTTAATACTCATAATGTGCCCTTAAAAGCTCAGCATATGCTCTTACCATTAAATCATAGCTTTAATTAAATCTTTGGAATTTAATTAAAATTCGATTTTTATTTAAGCTGCTGCCTTGTCTAATAGCATACATTAATTTCAGGTAAAAATAAAATTGCTTTTTGATGAGTTTTATATGTTTTTTTTCTTTTTTGTCTGACTCATTGATTAAAGAGGTAAAACAAGCTGCCTACCACTGTTAAGCATCAAAGAAAGGTTAGATTAGTCTTTTGTAGTCTCTGTCGAATATTAATTTTTTTTAAGGTAGATAACTGTTTTGTCTGACCTTTTAAGGAAAAAGAGAAAGGTTGGCTGTAACCGCTTGACATTTTGGTAATCTTTTGCGTCTCGAGATAAGAGAGTCAGGGGGGGGGGGGAACACACACACACACATTTTGCTGTAAGCTACGGCAAACTGACTGGATGTGTAATGAGAACAGAACAATAATTTTATCGTCTGTGTTTCACTCTTAGCTGAGTTATCTTTTTTTTTCTTTCATTTTGGTGTGAATTTCACTCCAAAGTTCACTCAAGAGACCAAATGTATTTTCCTTGGGAGTGAGGAGAAAATAGAAATTTGTCACATACACTCTTTGCTTCATTTTTAGATGTTATTTGCTGTTTTTTTTTGTTTTTTTTTCAGATAAACCCGAGGTGAAGATCGTGGTGACATATCCTGATGGGTTAACAAGAGAGGGCGACAATCTTGATTTGACATGTATCGCTGAGGGGAAACCACAGTGAGTTGTTTTTCACACACACACACACACACACACACACAGCACACACACACACACACACACACACACACACACACGCACACACACACACACACACACACACACACACACGTGCGGATGAACTTAAGCACTGGAGATTGCTGTTTACTCGGCGTAGCCATCTCTCTCCAAACATCCTCTTAACCTTTCCATTTCATTGTACCATTAAACCAGTTGTTAGCATGCGGTACACCATTAGGCACCCCGCCCTCCGCCGTCGATTTCAGATCTGACCTTTATTTCAGATTTCTAGCATGGGATAGACAGCGTCTGAGTGATGCGTGTGGCATTTGTGCTTTCTAGCCCCCATCAGATCAACTGGCTCAGAGTGGACGAAGACGTGCCACCGCACGCCGTGGTCACCGGCTCCGATCTCTTGATCGAGAACCTGAACAAGTCGTACAACGGCACCTACCGTTGCGTGGCGTCGAACGCCGTGGGCGAGGCTTACGACGACTACGTCCTGCACGTGTACGGTACGTTACAGCTCACGGTCGCACCGGATCGTTGGCTTCCTCATGCGTGGGACGCTCTGTAACGCTGCTCACGTCAGTGCCGGGCCTGCACGGCTTTATTGTTCTGGAAATGATCACCAAATGACAGGCATTCGTGACAGACTCCATGCATCGAACGTTCATTTGTTTTTTGCTTCTTTTTTTTTTTTTTTTTTAAAGTAAAACGTTGGAAATATGAAAATAAACTCGCAGAACGGAAATCTTTTCAAAAAACATTTTTTTTTAATGCTGCAACAAGTGGCGACCACTTTTATGCATTTAATGGGATTTTTATTGAACATACCAACACATTGATGCATAACTCAAGTGTAGGGCTGGACGACACAGGCTGAAAAATGTATCAGACAATGTCGATAATTTTTGATTACTTTTTGAAAACCGAATCAACACTTTGTTTGGGTTGGGTGTGCATACAGGACTGACATGACAGTGTCTTCAACGTAACACCTGTAAATGTTTGACTTTGTCATGAAGTGTCATTTGGTAGATAAAGACAATTTTAACGCTTTGAAAGTGTCATTATTTATTGAATAATGCACGTTAAATGCAACGTTTACTGCAACTTTGCATTAAAGACGTAATTATTTACCGACTCGACCGGACGTTGCCAGGGAACCAAAGCGTGATGAAGTCACAGACCTTGCATAACCGGCCCTGACAGGTTGAGCAGCTGAAGCCTGACCTCTCCCTACATCTCCCAGAATGCTGTGCAGAAACCAGAGTTTGGTGAATGTTGAATTTTCTGTCAGGTGTTTTATCTGTTGATCACTTACCTATTGCAAAAGAAATTATGACTGATTTATTACCAACCTTCCTTAAGTGGCGGAAAAAAGTCATCTCATGTTTGTTCATTCCTTGTGAAACTCTGAAATATTACACAAAGAGCATCTATGCTCATCAATTTTGCTCTTCAATTTTAGTCTTGACTTTGACTAGGCCATTCTAACGCCTAGGCCATTCGTTTTGATCAAAACGATCCTGTAGTTTACCTGCCTGGATGTTTATTCAAGTTATTAGAATAATAACTCTGAAGGTGAATTTTTTCCACAGTATTTCAGCAGACTCCAATAGGTTTTCTTGCAGTACTGTCATGACTTTAGCTTTTGGACTAAAGGTCCAAAAATGATCCTTGATACGGCACGACATATCAGCTACTGTCTGCTCTATAAATTGAGGTATGCGGAGCAGGAAGTAAGACGATGGACTTTTTTTTTTTTGCCTGTGCTGGTTTGAAGAAAGCCAGCTTGATTCTTGAATCTATATAAAAAGAAGAAAAAGAAAAAAAAACAGACACGGAACGGTAGAAAACTCGAATGTGAGTTTTTTGAGGGGATTTTTTTGACGTCAACAGAAGGGCAGCAAATAAACCAAGTGGAACTGCTGCACCAAAACAGCATGTCGTGCCATATGCTCTGCAGTTAGCGGCGCCGGAGGGAGGGCGAGACGTGGACAGGTCAAATTCATACGGCAATATGGAGAGTGCCTGTTCGCCGGCTTCCAAGCACCACTGAAGTCTGAAACTTTCCACACAACTTCAGGCAATTAATCAGAGTTCACACGCTCCCCTCTGGAGCTTTATAATAATTAATATAACTGTGCACCTGTAATGGTTTGTTTATTACCATTTGGATTGTTATATATTCATATTTGTTTTACAATTTTCCTTTGGGGCAGTTTGGTCGTTTTTTTCTTCTTTTTTTTTCTATTTTGCAAAATGTAAAAATAAAAAAACAAAGTCATTGCCGTTCCTATTTGTTGCTTTTAATCAGGAAAATATTTTTCCTGCCGACAGCGGCGATGCTTTCCGGCAATTAAGTTTATTTCAAACTTTTAATTAAAATGTTGTGCAGATTCTTGTTATTTCATTAACCCGCATAGGTGCATAGCAGTAAACTATCATGGATAGTTTTTCCTGGACAGACCAAGAAAAACAGGATTTTTTTTTTTTTTATGCAGGAAACAGCTTATTTGAAAGCATGCTCATGCACTGCACAGTTAATGCGCTCAGTGCAAGGCTCTTTTTTGCAAGAATGGCTGCATTAGTGCAGCATGGCACAGACTTGATCAGCATGCGGCTCCACTGGTACGCTAAAGCTTATAAAAGGTCATTTGAGCCTGATCCAGGATCAGCCATTTTTTGACATATCATGGACATTTAAGGACCTTTCTGTGTTAAAACTGCTGTATGTATATGTGATTATTATTCCTAGTTTTTTTACACATTCGGTGAAACCGTCACCATGTCGAGTTTGGTACGAGACAGATAATCTGTGAAAAAAAAACAAACTTCCACCAATCACAATCTCTTGCGGCGCTGCTTACGCTAGCAGACTATAGTGAACAATTAGGCTAGTTAGCATAGCCACCGATGACGGCAGATGAACAGTTTTCTTGTAACGGTAGGTTGTTTCTCTGCCGCTATCACATTCAGCAGAGAGTACACAAGATTGATTGACAGCACTAAGACCCGCCTCTTTGCTCTGATTGGTTGTTTGGTTGATCTCTTCTGTTTCCTGTTGTGCTGTCGTGATATAACAGCAGTTTTAACAAGTAGATGAAAAACATTTTCTTCATAAAAGTAACACGCTGCAGTTTTAATGCTGAGACCTTTGGCATTGGGAATGGTCACTGTCAGAAGACGGATCTTAAAGGAATGAAAATCCTCCTTTCAGATCATGGACATGATGTCATTAACACAGATGGAAAGGCTCTGATCCCAAAGTAAAAAATATTTGAGGACTTTTCAAAGTGCTTGAAAGCCATTCCTTCCTCTTCTAGAGACAGCTAATGCAGACTGATGCCCTATCTCCTGCCCCAGCTGCAATTACTGTTACATTTATTTATTTTTTACTGCTGTGTGTAATCCTTTGTGAAAAACTTCCTGTCGAACTGGCAAAACAGTTTCTTGTCCGAGCCACTGTTGGCTTGTTTATGTGAAAATAAAAAAAAGTACAATTTGGGGAGGAAAATACCAGCCGTGACTTTGCATTTGATAAATCAGTGGATCTATAACAGCAGATTATAAAAGCATTACTCCCTCAGCTCAGGGCTCAACTTGCACTCTGTGGTTTGTACACTCTTACTCCAGGATGGGAAACCTTAGTTTCCAAACGAAATTTGAATTTCTTCTTTCTGCCATTTAGACAGAGGACTTTGGAGTATGGACCAACATTTGGTTTTTGTTTTTGTTTTCCTGACGTTTCTGATTCAAGAGTGCAAGAAATGCAAGAGTCATAATCTATGTCCGATAACTGAGTGGTGGCTTTCCACACCGCTGGAATGAACTTTGCAACAGTGGCGCCCTGAAGAGGGGAGCCAGAGGGGCCCACAGCCCCAGAGAGAAACCATGGTCATGTCATAAAAAGGCATACAAGGTCATCTTTTTTCAATGAATACAGAAATAAATCAATACAAAATAAATAGAAGCAGACCTTTTTTTCTTTAGTTGTGCCCCTCTAAAAAAATTAGAGGTCCTGTTCTGGTCATTCCTATAGAAATTTTCAGTTTCTCAGATTTTTGTTTTAATATTCTGATTCCTTCACAGTTCTATCAAAACAGCGATTGTGCCTGTTTCAGTGCCCCTTTTTCTACCACACCTTTTGCTTCCACTAAACTTTCCATTAATATACTTTGCTTTTTTTTCTATTATTTGTTTAAGCAATGAAGTTTTATGACACACGACCCCGTTAGGAGTCTACCGTTTAACCCTTCTTCTCATAACTACTGTGAACGGTGTCGAATAATATTCACATTTTCTGAAGCTGAACAATCATCATCATTAACTGTAATAAACACTAATCAGCGCAAATGATGGCCAGGGATTTAGTACGGTCATAAATGACACATTTATTTTTTGTTGACTTTGTTTTTGTTCCACAGATAACTTTTAAAGGGCAACAGGGAGGCCGTCTCTCCAGAGACATGAATTTCAATGAGCTGACAATTGGCTCACCTCTCTTCATTTAGGCCTCATTTTCTCTTTTATCCTAACATGACTGTCATCATTTTCACAGCTGTATGCATGTTAATGTTTTTTTTTATTATTATTACTATTTTTTTGTTGCTGTTTTTGTTTTTCAGTACACAACTACAAAAGCCCATTTAAAACACAACCAATTAATCACTGGAACAATTACTGTGATCTTGGGAGGATCTACTTGATCAGTTTTTGCAACGAGCGACATTTGATTTTTCTCCGACTGCAACAAAAGTTTTTCGACAGCCGCCAAGAATCTTTGCTCTTGAATTCCCAGAGGGGAGCGAACAACAGGAGGTGATTGTCTGAAGTTTTTAAAATCACAAAATAAAAAATAAAAAGAGAGAAAGAAAAGAAAGGGGGGACGCTCTGACGTGACACACACTCATTTCTTGGACCTTGATTTCCTGTTTTTTTTTTTTTGCTGTTGTTGTCTTTTGCTGGCTGGCAGCAGTGTATGGTGATCAGTGGGGGGAAAATAAATAAAAAATTTCCAGCAGCTGCAGCCCGTTGTTGGCGAGTTTAGTTTTTTCTCTCCGCGGAGCGTCGTGCTGTTTTGCATTTTTCTCCCAAGTTTCTGCCAATGTGCCAAAACCGTTCTGTGCCAGTGACAGTACCTGGTACCGGCGATGAAAATTTATCTGATGTTTAGACTCCAAAAAAAAAAGAAAGAAAGAAAGAAGAAAAAAACCAAAAAGAAAAAGTTGGGAAAGATTTTGAACTCCAGTAAAAGTGACAAAACTGATTTTCACTTTCACCTCCATTTATTTAGCAGCCATTGTGGGAGACAAATTCAATCATCTTTAAAAGGTGCGTTAGAATTACAACTAATTTGCAAGAACATGCTACAAAAGATTAATATGAAAAATGTCTTTCACCAAACTCGGAGATTTGATTTTAGACTAGAATGTTTTTAGCTTCAATATGTCAAATGTCCATCTAAATTTAGCAATAAAGGCTCATTGGATAAGAAGATATTCTTTTA